GCTGTGAGGCACAAAGTAAGCCAGCTTCTGAAGAGCGAACAGACTGGCAGGAGACATGGGAATTCGTGTATTTGTACAGGCTTCCTGTGTTTGCCGGACAGGCTTTGGCGCCCTCACTTTTCTGCAGATCTGCATACTATTTTACTGTAGTCATGGTCGTATGTTCTATGAGACATGAATGTCCTGGTCTTGACGCAAGGAGATCTCTTTCGTCCTAGACCCGACGGCTGTCGGTCTCTTGCAATGCGCTGGCACAAGATCGGGTCTTGTGAAACAGCCCGAAGTGCAAGAAGGTACTAACAGGACATTAGGGCTTACGGCTTAGGTTTGAGGCAGACTTCATCAGAGATTCGGTGAGTGTATAAGAGAAGGGCCCTTCGTGAATGTTGGCGGGCACTCGTTTTGGGGGTACTAGTAGGTCAAAGACCGTCATCACATCTGATGTTTTGTTGCATGCTGTCTTTAGCTTCGCAACTGGCCAGAAGTTATCAGTTGTATCTTAGTGGATGTGCGATGGGTCACGTTGTTGGTACCTTCACCATTCTTCTTGTAGCACGGTGTCGCCGCCCAAAGCGAGCGTTTCAATCCTTGCTGGCAGTAAGGTGTTTGCTTCGACGATCCTATAAATTGGCAGTTGCTTCAAGCTCCCCTGAAATCCCTTCAGACGAGCTCGGTTTACTGCGCAGAGCTTGGACTTCAGTCGCCAGCAAGGAACGGAGCCTGCGGGTACAGCGCCGAGAAAAAGTTGACTTGGACTTGTGCCCCCTGGATCAGCCTTTGTGTGTGTGTCGGGTTTTACTCGACACTCCGAGACAATCAAAAGCTTCTCGCAGGTTTCGTTTAGGGTGCTAGTCATGGCGGAAGAGTAGCAGCAACGTGCTATTGCCCGACCATGAACTGCGCCTGAGTCGAGCTTCGTCGCAGAGTTGCTGTGCCGACTTGCTGCAGTCATGAGGCTCTTTGGCGAGAAGGTAAATGGGCGAAGCACCCTTGTCAGAAGGCTCCGGAACGCCGTGGAGCGTCCCGACAGAGTAGGATGCTTCAGTGTAAGTTTGTTGGCAGCAATATTTGTACCCTGCCGACTACGCACTAGCGGCCAGCTGCCATGCAGAAGGCATCAGAAGCAGCTGAGCGCAGGCGGAGCTGGATTCCTTGTGTAAGACGCAGGTTTGAGGTGTTTGCCTGCTTGTGGGATCTTGTGAGTGTAGCTACTAAACCGCTTAACTCGGCGAGGATGAGGCTTCGCAGACTGAATCTGCCGTCAGCGACTTTCCAAGCTGCCAAATCTCGAACACGCGGTTTGGCATCTCACTTGACAACTTGAGCACCGCCTGCCTTGTTGCAGCCTTTTGCAGGCACCCATCACCGCTCTCCTTTCCTGCCTCTCCATCCCAGCTTTGTAAGATGCCTGCCGCCAAAGTCAGCGGGTATATTGGCTTGGCGTGTGACCTGTCCCCAACGAGCGCCAGTACTTCAGCAGCTGGCTCGCCTCGAAGCTCTGCGCCTGCATCTCCGAAGGGATCCTTTCTGAAAGAGGAGGTCGTGGCCTGGCAGCAAGACCTCCTTCGGGAGTTTTCGTCACCGGCCTTCCAGAAGAGACTGCGGCAAGCTTCTTGCCTGCAACCGGTTGAGTACGAGAAAGCCCGAACGGCTTTAGTGCGCGATGCACAGTGGGCCATCGCTCCGCAGCACGGCTTGCCCGCCACGGACTTAAGCATTGAGCAGATGCTCCTGGCCGTGGACCAGTTTCTGGATGACGTGGATGTGTCGGTGAACCAGCAGATCATCCAGGAGCACTTGGTGGCCTGCGAGGTGCCAGTGCCTGGCAAGGAGCAAACGGCCGTGCCGCTGGGTCATGACAAGACGGTGCTCGGCAAGAGAGATATTATCAGACTGCTCAAGAGCCTCCAGGTCAGTTTCAGCGAGCCAAACTTCCAGCAGGAGCTTGCAAAGCTGAAGGAATCGGACATAAAAGCATCCGGCACAGCAGAAGCTAAGGGCTTTCTCCAGCTTCCTGGGCGAAATGAGCTTGCTTTCGCCATCCAGCTGCAGTTGGCTCCCTGCTTTGGCTTTGAGGCCAGCAAGCAGGGCATCCTAGCAACTGGGCTTTGGAGTACCATACTTTAATACTTTTTTGGGGGACCTGTTACTTCAAGGGGACCATTATTACTTCAAAGCCCAGGCAATGATCTCCACGTGCGGGCAGTTTTTGAAGGATCCGGAGATCTCCGAGCTGTTCGATGCCGTCAACATGTGCCGTCCTTAGTTGCAAAGGTACCTGGGCCCTGCCTTGCGCCATGGTCCGTAGAATGGTAGCGGGGAACTGCAGAAGTGCATGGCAGGAAGTTGGGCATGACTCCGGAAGCATGCAAAGCCTTCCGAGCGAAAGTACTGCCCTAAGCACGTGGAGGACCAGGCAGCCCGGACATGTTTTGAGCATCGGGTTGAGGGCATGACCGCAGGCGAGGAATGCCCCGAATGGTCCAAAGATGGGGATGACGGGGATGATGGACGTGGTTGTACTCTGTTAAATATTCCCTAGTAAGTCCTCATTATATAGCTATAATGGCCCCCTACTCCCCTAAGGGTGATGATTTTTAACCTATACTATAGGGGCTTAAAGAATTACCTACACTATTCTTTGGGGGGTTCCTTGTTATAGTTATAGCATACTGGGCCCCGAAACCCCTATATTACCAGCTTCGACATCTTCAGAACTCTCATAGCACTTGTAACTCCTTCACTATCACGACATAGTCTACAGTCTACAGCATCATCAGCTTCATTGTGCCAAGCAGCAGCACCTTCTTCTTCTTCTTCACCATCATCGTCATCATCACCATGGTCGGTTTAAAGCCTAAACCCTAAACCCTAAACCCTAAAGTTTAAAGGCATCCTGGTGTAATGCCAGGGACTGTGCCTCGCCGGCGGATGCGCGCTGAGCGGCGAAAATCGTGAGCTCCGGGAACTGGCAAGGGAACGGTTTAGGGTTTAGGGTTTAGATGTTCGATCTACTGTAGACCTGTCTCGTCTTTTATTAAAAGCAATTCGGCTAGTGCGGTAGCAGCCCATAGGCCTTAGACGTTGGGGCCGAGGATCGGCATTTTACATTGTCCGCTGTCGCAGTTCCGGCAAGTTCTCGCCGAATCTGCCAGGGCTTGCTGATCTGAAGCTCCAAAGACCAAGGTCCGCAAGTTTCCCGAAGACGCTTCTCACCTCTTGCATTTTTCGAATTCTTGTGACGGCCAGATTCCATTTGTTGGACGTTTTGCCGTAGTTCGTGGCTCGACCATTCAAGGGAGGAAGCACCACATTGATAATGATGCGGGCATACTGGTATACGACGTCAGAACCACACGGAAAAGAGAATCAAAGTTGGATGCAACAAGGGGCATTCATTGCGGTGTCGCATGTGGCTTGCAGTGAACCCTTCCTCTCATACTGTCATACAAGGCTTTCCACTTCTGTGACGAGAAGCCTTTCGCAGACTCTTAGCCATTCTGCTCGGCGCTGACTGCCACCTCTCGGAAAGGACCCGAAGGGTGTGAATTCGCAAGGTGAGGTGGCAAGCCGGCGATTTTAAAGTTGAACTGCACCGGATCGATCATCAAAAGGAGCCATCAGTGCTGACAGCAAGTCACAGATGCCTTAGTTACTTAACGTGACCTCAGTAAGAAAAACATAGCCTATTCTAAGGTATATGCCCCGGCCAGAATAACTGGAATGACTCTTTCAACAAAACTCAGACATTCCAGAGCTTGGCTGCTACTCTGCTCCAGGTAGTCGTCGATGCCAAGGAGCGGCCAGGTCCGCGCCATATCGAAGCTCCTCCTCAGTAGTAGAGCCTTTTAATGATAAGCATGAGTGGGTTTTTGGCGTATTACACTACAACAAGGGCTTCGAAGCGAATGTTTTTTTTTTTCGCCTTTCACCCTTAAGCCCTGAACCACAGAGGACTCTGAAGCCTGGAGGAAAATTCAATCCAAAACTCGAGGACACGGCGGTTCGGTCCTTGCAATTCCTAAAGCGGCTATAGACTATAGTCACAATAGTCTACCCCACAAAGAAACTTCCTACTGCAGCTACTACGGCCCCTATATTTTTGTCACGTGCTACCCGAGGCTTAAAAGCGAGCACTGGCCGAGGTGATCAAAAGCCCCAACTCAGCAGGCAGACCGAGACACAGGTAGTGTTGATGTTTGGGAATCTAGTGTACGCTAGGGATGACTCGGAGATACGTGGGGGTTGTATAGCCACTCTAAGCCATGCCACGCAAAGAGGCCCTGGAAAGATCTCAGAATTGAGGCAGTAACATTTGGATCATCTGGGCCAGAGTGAGAAGTTTCTACAACCACACTTTTTTGTAGAAAAAGCTGGTTTGCTTTGTTTTAGAAAGAAAGGCTAGTGTGTTTTTTAAAAGCTAGTTTGCGTCAATCGCGATCCCCTTACCCCCCCTCCTTCGACGCCATGCCAAAGAGCTACGAGCGGAAGCTGCGGGAGGCGGAGGAGCGAAGGAGACCTCGCGCCAAGGAGCGGGGCAAGTAAGGGGGCTCTTCGGGGGTTCAGGATTTTTAGGGATTTTAGGGTTTTGAGGGGTTCAGGGGTTGAGGGTTTAGGGTTTAGGGCTCTTAATTATGGGAACTCGCCTCCTGGAGCTAGTGTCGAGGCTTTGTTTGACGGCCTGATCTTTGTGATGGGTTTCTCCACAGCAAGGAGTGAACATCCACGTGCCATTCATTTGTATAAGCATTCGGCAAGAAGCAACACATGCAGGAACAGCTGCTATATGCCCACATTCAGAAACAACCAGTAGACACCCATACATGCATCCTTGCATGCGCAGACACACAGAGAGGAGAAACAACGCACAGCAAGTGCCGTGTCGTGGGCACGAATACATAGGCAGCATTACATATGTCTACGATATGTATATGTGTATGTATGTGTCTATGTGTATGTGACAAAACGCTTGTTCAGACATACATTGGGATGTGGTGTCCTGCATGTTTGCTTGTTCGTTCGTCAGGCAGTCCGCAGCTGCGTGTCTAAGAGTCTGTACTTGTTTCTTATCTGATGCTTTTGTAGTTCTGCAGATCTTGCTGTCAGTAGGTATTAGCAGACTATAGCAGCAGCGTGTTCTGAAATGCCACTCCACTTCGTCATGCCCTATAGCATAATCCCATGACCCTGAAGAAGAACCGTCTCCAGCCTGAAGGAAGAGCTGTACAAAGCGGTGGAGGGCAAGTCTCAGAGGACTTTCCACTTGCAAGAAGCCGGGTTTCAGGTGAATCCCAGTAGTAGCGAACCGCTGGAATCCTGTTTGCAGCGAAAGCAGCTTCGACAAGCAGTGGGTTTTCCTGTCAGCCCAGGATTATGCTCGGCTTCGATCACCCGGAAACTCTCCAGTTCGAGATGCAGCTGACATGGGTCGAAGACACCTGGACGGATCCTTGGCAAGACAGAGGCAGTCCTAGCGACGGCACTGGTTGCACTACGTTTACTCAATAGCGTAGTCGTATGAATAGCAGTAACGGAAGGAGTAACAGTAGTCGTCATAGTAATCATCAACCAAGCAATCTTAGCGCTAGCTCGGAGTTGTTTTGGAGTCTTCGCCAAGGTGGACCAGCTGCATGACCACCTTATGTCGGAAGTCCGGCGGCTGGACGCCGAATACAGGCGGATGCTGGTGATATAATCGTGATGCAATAATATACCTCTACTACTTGTATAAACTTACTCGGATATTTTAATACAGTATCTATCGATAGTATGTAACTGCAACGAGTTCTGAGTAGGATGCGCCTGACCCAGAGGCGTAAGCCGCTGCGTGGAAACTACTCGCAAAAATACCTTTGGTTTGACAGGCCCCTTGGCTGAGCTGAGCCATATCTCGTTTCCGGGTAGTGTCGAGTGCAAAGGGGCTTATATCTATTAGGTCATATTATATCATAGGAGATTTCCTCGGAGGTAGCTCTTTCAGAACTGCATCCCCCCAAGACTGTGGTGTCCTCAAGATTTTTTAATTTTTGTTCATATAAAGCTCAAGAGAATATTAAGACCATCAGTTTTGTAATGGTTCTAAGGGGGGTCTAGAAGACCTCACACACAAGGTTTGTGCTGCGGCCCCGCGTGCAGGGCCGTGAGCTGACGCTACAGGATTATGGCATCGACCGGTCCTCAGACCTTTCCATGGAAGTAGAGAAGCGGAGCCCTTTTCGGGAGCCAAACTAGTTTCCTTCCGGAGTCCCCCCTCGACGTCTTGAAGCCGAAGGGGCCAAGATTACAACCTGGCCCCGACTCAACCCCGGGCCCCCGGGCCGGTGCCCTGCAGGCTGAATGGGCCTAGACCCCTTCCGGCTAAACTCCTCTAACGACTTTAGAATGACTCCAAGGAGCCGGGCTATCGAGTCAAGGTCAGCCCGTGCCTGGCTGAGACGGCTTCATCACACGGCACTGAACGACGACATGAGAGCTTTCGGCGGTGTTCTTCATGTCTGCTATCATCTTCAGGTTCTACCAGTCAGAGCAGATGTGGGGCCAACCATTTCCCTTTGACCACAGATGCTCGTCTGCAAGCGGCGCGAAGCGCTGCCAGACTTGCAATAAGCCTTGGTTCCGAGCCCCTGAGCCCAGGATCTGTCTCTCTGTCTCTCTGTCTCTCTCTCTCTCTGTCTCTCTCTCTCTCTCTCTCTCTCTCTCTCTCTCTCTCTCTCTCTCTCTCTCTCTCTCTCTCTCTCTCTCTCTCTCTCTCTCTCTCTCTCTCTCTCTCTCTCTCTCTCTCTCTCTCTCTCTCTCTCTCTCTCTCTCCCTGCTCGATAGATCCAGGATGGAGTACGATGTATATACGTCTGTGTGCAAGTGGATGTATGTATGCATCTATGTATCTGTGTATGCAAGCAGGTACTGTAGGGGATGCGCATGCATGCATGTCTCGGGTCAGGTTTACAAACATCTGTACACACCAACGTGAACACATTATTCTATGCACATTTCTGCAATGCAAGTGTGCACAGTTCACATATGGTCGTCTTACATGCAGACATATCCTCATGCACACGTGCATGCATACATACGCATATATTTGATTATATTTGCATACATACACATGCATACCGACGTTTCCCACAATTTCACATACCACATAGTCTTCGCTCAGGCAAGGAGCGACCTCTGGATCAGATGACCCCGTGTGAGGCGTCGCCTTGCCCAGCAGCGCTTGAGTAGAACTTTCCGTATCAAAGCCTTACTCTTGGTATGAGTGATGTTCAGCTTCCATGACTCTGCACTCGCTTATGAGATCTCGCATTATCATGAATGTTGTCGCGCCCCCTCGCACTCCCCACGGTGTCAAGCATGCGTGCGTTGGTCCGCCAGTTCCGCTACAGCAGCTTACTTGTGGGCTGAAGCTTGGAAAGCTCCTGTCACATGGCCACCTCTTACCACCGCTCCACACCGCTACTATCACAGACTACAAGCCCATTGTCCAACTTGTCAAGCTTTACAGAGCTGGGAACTGGCTTTAGGGTTAGGGTTCAGAGAATTCTATCGCGCTTCAACTTTTGAACTCCGAGTACCGGCTGAATCAAGCTTTACGGATCATATGCATCCTTGGGAAAGTTGGTATCATTATTAGCATGATGAACACTGTGAAAATTATGATTATTCTGAGTCTGTAGGGACCCCTCCTCTACTCAAATCCTGAGAAAGCGTCTGTGATTTCGGTGGCCACAGGAACTTTGCTGTCCGATTCTCCTGTGAATGGGCAGTGTCCCCTTCGTGAACAGTTCTACACGGTGATACGTGCAGCATGGTTCGAAGGCACATGTCATTGTCAGTACTAGGTCAGCATTTACAGATACATCGCTTCGACTTGGTGTATTCCGGGAGTCTTAAACCCATTGGTCCCAGAATTGCTGAAGCCCTAAACCCGCAAACTCATCGGTCCAATGATTACGTGAAGCTCAGGTTCATTTGGGGCCCTATACTACCAAGGGTACTTTATGGGAACCCCCATTAATGGATCTACTTTTTGGATCCTTCCGGGGGTCTGGGTTGGCACCCGGAAGGAGCCGACTTTCAGTAGGTAAAGCCTCAGCCTGAGACTCAAAAGACTCGAAGGCATAGCCATTGAAAGTGTAAAGCCTCAAACGGGTTTAGGGGTGTAGGGTTTAGGGTCCACGTACCCACATAGGGTTCCTTTAAGGACCCCTTTAAGGGTTTAGGGTTCTATAGGATATTGATATAAGGGTCCATGAACTATCACCAGAAAGACCTAAGGCATACACTGTCGAGCCGTAGAAGTGAAACAACGACAGGATCCTAAGCTCCTGGTCCGTCTCGACAAGGGCGGCGGTGACTTCTTGCGCCTTGGTCTGGATCTTGACATCTTTGTGGTACTATCAATATTATAATAAGCCCTATAAGCAATGATACAACAGATGACAGAATGTCAGAAACGATGGCGGAGGGTGGTTTCACCGATTCACCATCTAATGTGCTAGCACATACGGTCTTCGGCAAGTACAGCGTATGCATCTGTGAGATAGCTAAACTGTTCGCTTGGTTTGCATCAAGTTGTTGCCTCTACTCAACCACGTCTCGTGGCAAGCTGGCTTTTGGTTCGTTCTTCACTGTCGTCCTTCATGCATGTGAATATGTTCGAACACGTTTCTTCTTTCACGGTGTTTGAGCCGCGAGAGCTGCTCAACAGACCAGCCAGATACTTCCATCAGACCATCATGACTGCTACAGTGGCTATCATTCACGAGAAGATCTTCAGTCGAAACGAACGAAACACTACCCTTCACACTGTGACTAGCGTAGGTGTTGTGAATGCCATTCTTGATCGGTATTACGTTCATTTCTACTTGTGCGTGACTGAGGACCCGCATCTTTTTCTTCCCGTGGCTGGGAGGAAATTCTTCGGCGTCGCTTGGCACGACAAGGGGTTTGTTTAGCCATTCAGCAGTTCTTGCACACCACTGCCACAAGATGAAGCCCACCTTTCACGCCCCGTGTCGCCGGTGCTGCCTTGTAAAGCCCAAGACACTAGCAATAGTGTAATACTTCGAATTCGTGCACGCCAAGGTACATTCCGGTTGTGCAGAAGATGCCCAAGGACCGCAGGATTTCGTTACTAAATCCAGTCGGACATTTTCCCGCGGCCTGAAAACCCGCAATACTACAGTAGTTTGTATGTCATATGACTCAGTCCGTTTTGTCATAGCACTGACTCCTTCTCCCTCTGTCCCTTATGCTATCCCAAACGGTCCAAAGTACCTGTATGGTAGAATGTGGGGTTTCTATCTTCGGAAATACTATGATGATTTAGGGAAGTATACCCCATCAAAGTACCTAAGTCCCTCCGTTTTCGTGATGGCAAGGACATCTGCTGCTACGCACTGGAGATGCCTGGGCGAGGCGAGAGGGAGGCCGACGAAGGCTATCCGACTGGAACCTTTGTCATAGTTGGGTAACGTTTTACATTTTTATGGGTACTTAAACCCAATAAGGAATAAAAATGTACATGTCTAATCCTATCCCAACAGTGAACTAGGAACCTTTGCCATCAAAGTCATGGCCATGTCACTGGCCAAGGAGATGGTTTATATGGGGGCCTTAGTGTTCACCTTTTTGTAATTTAAAGTATAATATAATTACCTAGTCTTATGGTTATAGTATATATATATATATATATATAACGGGCTATTTTAGGGATGAGGGGTTTTGGGCTTAGATTTTGGTTCAGGGTTAGGGGAGCCCAGACGTTAGACAAGATCACAGGTTGTGGAGAATGCTCAAGCGAAAGGCCGTAGCAGAAGTCAACCTGATCTACTCGTACCATATTGCCACTAACTTTGTACTTTGCAATGCAGGAGATGAAGCGAAGAGGATCGAACTACGTCTTCGCTCACTCGCAGGGCTCACACTTTGCGTACTACGTGGTGAAGCGTCTCAGATATGAGCACAACGTAGAGATCAAGGCCTGGGATGCTCCTTCACATCTACTTACTTGCTTCAGCCACATGTCTGCCATGACCTCATTCACCTAGTTGTACATGTCGCACAGGGGCTCTTCGTGAGCAATTTCGGCGTGCCCAGCGCAATGCCGTCGCTGGACCTCAGCACTTTGCAGAAGAGGCTCCGAGGGTACTTGGAGGATCATGGGACTTATTTATAATTACTTATAACCCCAATTCAGGTACTTATAACTCTACTTACTAAGTCCCATGATCCTTTAAGTAGGGAAGCGAGATGAGAGTCGGGAAGCCAGGGAGCATTTCTGCAGATCGGGCACCGGGTTTCGAGCTTGCGGTTTTCAAGCCGCTGCCCCCCAAGTCTGAACGTCGTGTCGAGAGAGCCCCCTCGGGCTTCGAGGCTCGTATCATGCTGCTTTCATCGCTCCACAGCTTTCTGGCTTCGGCTATGTCTTACCTCTGGTCTCCATTGTAGTTCATTTTTCTTTTTAACCCGTATATCTAGGATCCTACAAGATAATTTTAAAACGAACTGCAATGGAAACCATACCAGTGCCCTTCTAGAACCCTCATACTACCCTTGCAGACCTGATGGTACCCTTATAGTACCCTCTATAGGCAGTTCCTTTGCAGGCAGCAGGTCTGTGTTCCTCTGCGAATCTTCACCAACCTGGTGAAGGTGGAGCCGAATCCAAACGTTGGGGGATGCGATGCGTGCATACGTTTTTGGGGTTTGGGGGTTTAGGGTTTATAGGGTTTACGTAGGGTTTAGGGTTTGTAGGGTTTGGGGTTTAATACAGGGGTCTCAATACTTACCTAGACTATTTTTTGCAGGTCTCCTTATGATAGTCATAGTATAATGGGACACCAAACCAATTTCTAATAACAAAGACCCCTATATCACTGTTACAGGCCTCATTCACTCACTCACTCATTCACTCACCCAGCCAATCACCCAGCCAGGCAGGCAGTCAATCAATCAAGCAATCAATCAATCATGTACATATGTACATATACATATACATGCATGTACAGCTATGTTCATCGGCAGCAGCGTATGATCAACAGACAAGATGTACACAGTATCACAGAAAGCACGAACGGCTTTCAATTGCTCGCGATACCTGTGCATGCGCACGCATTGACACAAACGATGCAACGACACGTACGAGTCATAGACACATCGGCCGCGGTCAACTGATGGATGGATGGATGGATGGATGGATTGATACAGATCTGTACATATACATGTATGTATTACAGAGCTATCCTAAACACACAGAGATATGTTTCGGTAGCTAGTTGGATAAGCAGCTAGAAAGGGCGACCCATGGATTAATTGGCTCATGTCTTCGTTATGTATACAAAATGCGTACGTACAGAGTATCCAGATAGGTGGACATGTGTGTACCTGTGTATGCATACATGCATGGCATTGCATGCAGGGATGCATGGATGCATGGCTGGCTGGCTGGCTGGCTGGCGGGATGGATGGATGGATGGATGGATGGATGGATGGATGCACGGATGCACGGCTGCGCGGAAGGGATGCAGGGATGCATGGATGCATGGGTGGGTGGGTGGCTGGCTGGATGGGTGGATGCATGGATGCATGGATGCAGGGATGCATGGATGCATGGGTGGATGGATGGACGGATGGACGGATGGATGATGGATCTATGTATGCATATTCATGTATACATGCGTGCATGCATACATACATGCATGCATACACTTACACACTCTTGAGCTGTGGAAGAGCCCTTGTATTTGCAATTTTGGTCAAGCTTCTGTACCGCATGCTGCAGACTTGTGCCAGGGAGGCTGGGGCTGTGACCCGAAGCTTGCCTACAAGAGCCACATGGGACGCTTGCCTGCAGCCCTACTCTCCACTTTGGGTTTATTGAGGGACTTGGGGTTTCGATTCCGACCCTATGACTTTCCGGATTCAATTCCGGTGTTACCAAGGCTATCAGGCCTACCAGAGCCAAGAGCTTTGGCCTGTGGCGCGATCCTTGCTCATCGACCACTGGATCACCAAGGACCCTATGAACAGCCGCGTAAGAATAAGGATTCGCCGACATCTGGTTTCTATAGAATCCATCGCATGGTAGGATCCTTGCATCTGTGGCCTGCATCGCGCATGAGTCTGCCTGGCAGAGCTTGAGAAGCTGCTATTGTCAGTTTATGATTCGTAGCGAGTGTCACGCTGTTGCTGGCTCTTTATCGTGTCCAAACCGACACAACCACAGCAGCACGTTCTGATTCGATCACTGGTGTAGGCAGTTTGCGACCAGAGCATGAACGGATCTGGTGGGGTTGAGGATTGTATGAGTTTTATCATGTGACACGCAGCTTCGAACATGTTGCAGACCGGAACGGGGGACGCGGCAGGACTTTCCATTACCAGAAGCCGACCATCCTCTCTTTTGCCCAGTAGGCTGCCGTTTGTCATTGGTCGGTTGCAATGTAATGGCACACATTCAGCGAGCTGGCAACACGGATAGCAACAAGAGTAATTAATAGTCAATATTTGCGAGCGTAGTTTAACATCAATTTGGCCTTCCGATGTGCAGCAATGCCAGCAGCCACAGTAATGTCCCACCACCGCCAGCGCCAGCGCCAGCACCGCCACCGCACCGCCACCGCACCGCCACCGCACCGCCACCGCCACCGCCACCGCCACCGCCACCGCCACCGCCACCGCCACCACCACCACCACCACCACCACCACCACCACCACCACCACCACCACCACCACCACCACCACCACCACCACCACCACCACCACCACCACCATCCGAACCAGAGTGTCCACAGCCTCATGCACCCGTTCGCCGAGTACTCCGACAGGCAAGACGTCATAGTCATACTGTAGCAGCTGCAAACAACACACACGCACACACACGCAATGGCACTAGAACACCATGAAACAGCACCGCAGCACTTGTTGTGTTTCGTGTTTGCAGTGGCTGCTAAATAAAGTTGGCAAACAATGTTGATGTTGTTGCTGCTGCTGGTTTTGTTGTTGTTTCTGCTGCTGCTGTCGCTGTTGCTGTCGCTGTCGCTGTCGCTGTGGCTGTTGGTGGTGGGGGTGGCGGTGGTGGCGGTGGTGATGCTGGTGCTGGTGCTACTGCATGTAACTCAGATAGGCAGCAATTGTCGACCCTTGGCCTCCGCACAGTTGCCTTCTACGGCACGGAAGATGAGGCAGTGCCAGGGCCTCAAGGAAGGCCACAAGCAGCAGCCCCGAGCTTTTTCGCCTCACAAAGCATTCGTCTCCAGGGCTGAATGAAAGCTCATCATAAGGCTTTGGCCCCGGATCATGACCTAGAAATTTACATTTAAGACTTGGTTTGCACGGTGAGCTATGTCTTGTCTTCGGATGTTCAGATGCCCTCGAATCCTTAGCTCGTACCCTTCTGAAAACTTGGGGCCCTGCAACGGTCCCATACGGGCCGGTGCGGTTGTCTTCTCGCGACGAAAACCCATCTGGGAGTTTCCGAAAACAGGGGTAACTTATTTTAGGGTCCTTATAATAAGGATCCTACTATTCAGGGTACTACATTAGAGTACCCCATTTTCGGAAACTCCCATCTAGCAGTACAGGGTGATGTTTTGAGACTTCAACAGAACAGCGAGGCCTCGCTCAGCAGTCAACGAGTGGAAGAACCTCTCAGCGGATCCTGAGATCTTCAAGGCGAGGCTGGCTGAAACGAGGATTTGAGATTTAGGGTTTAGGGTTTAGGGTCCTTGGTGGTAATGCGGAGATTTCGCTGTTGATTACGAGCTGGTGTTGAAGCAAGCTTCACTTAGCTTCTCTTCAAGGGGTCCTAACTTAGCACAACCTGCAGAGTCAGTTTTGGCTCCTTGCCTTGAGGTGCAGAGCAGCCTAAGCCCTGCCTGCAAGTAACGCACTATAGGGCCATACTATGGGGGTTCCTGATTACAATTATCCTGTAATGGGCCCCAAAACCCTATTTCAATTGTTAAGGCCCCTAAATTAGACTCCTGATTACTTACCCCCCTGCTTTTGCTCACAAAGCATATGTAGGTAAAGGGTCTATTCAAGCATCAAGGCCCTTAAAGGAAGTTGGAGGCTTCGAAGGCAACCCTAAACCCTGTCAGTGCTATCATAGCCACAGCCAGAGGTCACTCCTTTCCACACTCAATCCTGTGGGTGCTATGAGTTTGGTCATTGTCGCTGCTGCTAGTGCTAGTATTTTGACATAGCATTCCATTATCTCGTGGGCAGCCAGCAAAGCTTTGGATTCTCAAGTTGCGTAAGCAGCAACCGTAAACCATCCTAAATCCAAACTCGAACCGGTGCACCTACACCTGCGACCCCTAATCAGCGATTTTCAACACCGAGAACCCGTACCTCTCACCTACTGCCGTCTTTCTCATCGGGGATCTAAACAGCTTTTCATAAGCGGGCGCAGGGTTTAGGGCTATAAGGCTTAATTACTACAAGGCGTCGAGGGTGTTTGGCGGTGGAGAAAGGAAGTTTACGCCGATTTTGTGGTTGCGTTTCGCCTATCTTTCCAAACTTTAATTGACCCAAACATCCCTGAACCCCAATGTGAAACCAGCTACCAAAAGGCGCCCATGGTTCGGAGCCAGCGCCAAGCAAAAACCATGAGTAGAGGGGAGTTCAAGAAGCCGAATTTCGCAACATGAGCTATTCGACTTAGGACTGTGGTTTAGGGATGGGATTTAAGTTTAGGATTTGTAAGGCTTGATCCCAGCCCTTAACGGCATCCCCATCATAGAACCCCATAGCACTCTGAAAAGGAACCCCATTAGGGCACCGTGTTGCACCCTGAAAGGGAGACCCTACCATGGAACTCTGCAGCACCCTTAAAGGGGATCCCATTGTAGAGCCCGATACTCGTCGTATGGTGCCCCCAAGCGTGTCCCCTAAGGGTCGGACCCCTTTGAATCCCTGAGGTGATCGAGATGCCCGGCGGCCACATGTGGTTTCAGAACAACAGCTCGAGGCGTTCCCCTTGCGGAAGTTCGGGCAGAAAAAGGGAGTTTAGGGTTCAAGCTGCAGGATAGCTCGAGTTCTGGAGTTAGGGTATGGGCAGATAGACTGAGGCTTTGGACGAGGCTTTGCACTGTTCGGTCGCTGCCGTCTGAGGTGCGAAGCGCTCGCCATCGAGCTTGACAGGTTGATGCGAAGACTTCGCTGATCTTCTGAGTCAAGCGATTTCGGGAACAGGAGCTGACAGTGCAGGGATAGCTTCTTCCGGGAGGAGAATTATCCGTCATGCCATGTGCAAAAATGGCCGCCTCTCGCTCCGATCGTGGGCATACTTGGAGGTTCATGGGTAGTTATAAGTGGGGTCATAAGTCCCACTATCATGGGTTGTAAGTCTAGTTATCCTACTTACAACCTTTCTCATAACTACCCATGAACCTCCAAGTACCATCAAGCAAACCCAAGCCCTGAACGGTAGTAGCGGCAGTACCAGTAGGCGTCGCAGAGATCGTCAGCAATAAGAGGGGTGGCCTTGATTGAGCAATATGGTATTGGGCTGTCATGGAAGTCATGCCCCATGCCGAGCCGTGGTGCAGGTGGCAGCAAAGGCGGTGCAGACCTGGTTTCGCGATCGGCTGTGACCTGAGGCCAGGCTCTGTTTTCAATTCCCTGAGCCCCATACACCTTGTCTCCTGCATCCTCAACCCTAAACTTTAAGCTTCAAAGCCGCGTCAGCCGAATCACAGCGAGCTTGTCTGCTGTCATAGACAGGTATAGGGTTCGGAGTTTCCTGTGGGAAATGTAGACTTTTGGATTTATTTCAGGTTGGTCGCTACGACCAGGTTGGCCCAGTCCTCGTCATTTAGGTACTGAGGCAAATAGATGGTTCTGCATCGTCCCTATAACATAGCATGATATAGCTATACTGGAATACTCAACAAATCAAAAGCAGATTGAAACGGATGACGACCTTTATAACCCAATATCATGTATGTATACGCACGTCTTATATGCATACACATGCATTTTAGGTCTCCTGCAGCACCGGGCAGCGTGGTGAGTCCGGGAAGTCACCTGATCCCTGCAGCTGGCGCACGGAAAGACTCGTTTGCACCGGGTCCGGGCATGGAGTGGGGAACTGGGAGTTTCCGAAATTAGGTACCTTATTTGGGGGTGCTTATAATAAGGATCCTACTATTTAGGGTACTATATTAGGGTCCCCTATTCTCGGAAACACCCAACTGAAGGCCACCGAAGCCAGCGAGCGGGATCCGAGCTTTTAAACGCCTGGAATAGCCTGACACTGAGAAACCCATGGGTGAGCAGCTCAAAGTACAGACCCCGATGCCCAGAGTCCTCGAGTACGTGTTCGGACGGTTTCAGAGCCGATTCTTTCCGAGTTAATTACCCTTGGTCCATGGGTATGCACGTGTACGCTGTATGCTGCTCAGTCGTGATTTGCTTCGCGCAGCATGTAGTCTCGCGAGGTAATCGCATGAATGGGCAACTGCTGTCCTACATGTATTTGAGCCTTCATGGCCTCCCGTTCCGGCCTTTTTCAGGACTTGCACGTGGCCTGCAAAGCGCTGGCATGCCTCAGTGCATCCATGGCCGTTCGCCGCGTCGCGGGACTGGCGGCTGAAACAGGGGACTGTCCGGGTGAGGATCCCCGGCTTTGTGCGATGGGCACATCTGCAGCAGGACGTGGCCTGTATGTGAAGAAGCCGATTGTTCAGCGTGAAGTCATTCTGAAGGATGTGGCTGTGGTTGATTCAATCTGTCCACAGGAAAGGATTGAGAAGGTCTTCTCTAACAGGCCCCCCGAGCGGTCTCGAGCGCAAAGGGAGCCGATATGGGGAGTGGTTACGAACTTTGTCTACCTGTTGCAAGATATCCCAAGCCATTTATCGAGTGAGGGCGCGAGTCAAGGAAGCCAAGAAGGCGCAGGGATGCGAGAACGGCGTCGGCGATTGGAGCTTTTCGCCGCATTCTACAGACCGCAGCTGCAGGATGCAAAAAGCAATTTGTACAAGCTGCACGCCGAAGAGATGCACAAAGCAATGGACCCGAGCTTCCAGCAGTCAGTGGCTTCGGATGTGGTGGCTGACTTGCTTACTGTCGTCCGTCTTGATGCTCACATTGTGCGCGAGACAGGAGCGACGAACCCAGGTTGCTGAGTAGTAGCCTTTTGCCTTTTTATGTGGGGGTCTCACAGAATGCTATGAAAAAGCGCACCCTCACTTATTCACAGGCTACTCAGGAACCTAGGAACGGCTTGGGCTTGTTTTTCTGGCTTCATTTGGCAAACCACAGCTGCTGTCCGAATGCTTTCTTCCACACGCACACGCAGGGAGGCCGTGCCAAGGCGACTCTTTATGCCTTGCGGCCCTTAGCCTCTGGTGATGAGGTTTGCATTTCTTACGTGGATGGACAGACGCTCTTAAGCCCTGTACAAGTCAGGCGTCGCATCATCCAGAATCAGTTCCTTTGTCACAGTTGGGTAACATTTTACATGTTTATGGGCACTTAACCCAATAAG